CTGTTATATGTGTTTTAATCACATAAAAAATATATTAAAAAAGTATTAGAACTAATGATTTAAATAATTTAGTGATAATTTCTTTTCATTAAAAATAAAAAATTTTAAATTTGAGTCTCATAACATATAAATGAGATGGAGTTAAGAACGAAAGAGAGCTATTTTTTACGCAACCAATATAAAAAAAATGTTAGAAAAAGTGTTCTTAGTGTTTCTGTTATAATTAATAAAAAATAATAAAATTTTGAATTTATGCACTCTCAGCCTAAGACCAATAAAATAAATAAATAAATAAATAGTTGAAATCTTGACCTGTTAAAGCCCTATTACCCTTAGGTTCTATTGAGTTTTAATATTTTTAGACCTAGTGTAACTTTATGTTAGTTCTATTTAATTTATAATTTTGTTTATCAAATTAATTGGTATCATGAATTAGTGATATATTAGTTAATATATATGTATTATAATATATGAATAGTACATTGTACTCATAAAAAATTTGACTTTAATTTTAATGTCAATAAAATTTACTCTTAATATATATTTGTTCCGATTAAACAAAAATTTATAATTCGTTTTTGACTTCAAAACTTTCTTTGGATTCTGTGTTCAGGCAATTGTGATGTTAAATTCTCATCGTTGAAGCGACTGAGTACAATAAACTGTCCAGAATTAATGGAATTCATGTCCATGGTTAAATCTACGAACACAAATGAAGCAGATGACGCACGGTGCTTCTTCATTGAACAAGTAAAATTCTTTTCATCTCCTCTTGCATTCTGGCTTTAGCTTTGGGAATTGATTATACTTGTCAATTTCACTCTTTGGCATGAATTATACATGCAGGTTGCATTTCCCAGCTTGGAAAGCTTGATTCTCTCTCATTTGAAAAACTTACAGATCATATGGCACAGCCAACTCTCTCCAGATTCCTTTTGCAAACTAAAAGAGTTGGTTGTTAGAGGTTGTGAGAATTTAATGAAAGTTTTTACAAAAGATATGCTGGGAAGCTTCTTTAAATCCCTAGAGAAGTTAGCAATTTATTATTGTGCTTCAGTAGAAGAGGTGTTTAACGTGGGAGAGATTACAAACCTCAAAGAATCAGGACAGACCCAGTTGAAAAATTTGTGGATTTATGGTCTACCGAGTTTGAAGCATGTGTGGAATGAGGATCCCGAGGGAATTCTTGATTTTCAAAGTATGGAATCGGTGATTGTTTGCAACTGTCCCAGTATCAAACATGTGTTTTCAATTTCAGTAGCAAAAGGCCTTAAACAACTCCAAAAGCTACAAATAGAGTGGTGCGGGGTGGAGGAAATTGTTGCAATGGGGCGGGGAGGAACAGAAGCGGTGATTAAGTTTGTGTTCCCTCGACTGTCAAACCTCAAACTAGCGGAACTACGAAGACTCAGATATTTCTATCCAGGAGAACACATAACGCTTTGGCCAGAGTTAACAGAGTTGGATGCTTTTGACTGTGGTCATGCTGATGAAGTGGAGATAAGAAATGGGTACGGTCGGCCTGATTTCCCCTTTCGACAGCCATTTCTCAACATCGAAGAGGTATGGGCCACGCTATTACTTAATTTTAGTTTTCAGATTAAAAATATACAGGGAAAAGTGCTTTTTTTTTTTTAAGTCGTTTTCTTAATGTTTTTTTGAAGTCTTTTTAAGAATTTATTTTTTAATTAATATTTTTAAAAATTAATTGTTTAATTAAAATTTTTTTCATATAAATTATACTTGTTAATTTTTAGATTCATCTACTAAACTTAGTCAATTTGTTAATTATATAAAATTTAATATCATTAA